ATCTGTGAAAATGTAGTTGTGCTAATTAAAAATGCATTAAATGTCTGATTTCAGAATTCCTTGATTGTAGACATACATAATGTTATAAATTATGACATTATAAATTATAACATAGGCTAGCCAGATGTTACTCTTAGAGCCCCTAAAATGTGGTGGTTAATTAAAATGTTAAGCTTTATTATAGATTTTTTAAATAGTTACTAAAGCCATCAATGATTCTACCACCACTACCTTTGGTGGGAAGTCACAGTTTGAAGACTTGGTTTTCCCTAGTAAAGGAACAGAAAAATTGCCCTGATAAATGTCATTTAGTTTTGGTTACCATGTGTCTTTCCTCTCCTTTCTAAATAACACTTTTTTGTTGCATCATATTGTCTGTTTCTGCTACCATTAGTTTATTTTTCATATTACTAATGTTCTTAGTATCTATATTTAACCCATTTTTTGAATTCTGTCTCTGTCACAGATGCTTCTTGCTTATAATTGTCTATATTTAACACATCCTATGAAGTTTGCCTTTTCCCATAAACTACTAACTTAGCTACCATCTATATTGATTTAATCTATCCAATTTGCTTCTGTGTTTTCTGTATCAGAATGCTATCAAATCATATAGCAAACTCATGTTTCATGAGCCCACGTATCTGAACATTCTGTCTGTTTTGGAACAGGAGCCCCATAAAGTCAATGTTTTGAACAAGAATGACTCGGAGTCTCTATGCATGAAGATAGTGCCTTTGCCAGGTTAAAGGTGTTGGAGGGTTTTCATAAGTAATTTAATTAGGTGAAAATTTCCTTCCTGTTCATTTGTCTGCAGGAGGCAAAGAAATATAGGAGAAATAGTAAAGAGAGGGGAAGAGTAAAGACCTGGAGAAAAGGAAGATCCTTTTCTTAGCTCCCTTGAAGTTATAATCTAAAAATTGTCCTAAGTTCTACATGCACTATAGGTGGCATTCTGAGGCTACAAAATGCTTTGTATGGTGTGTTGAGGGCATTGTGTTATAGAGGCCAAAGGGAATCTGAAAGAAAAATGTGTTGCTTATCCTTTTACAAGGAAGCAAGAACATGTATATGGTCTGTTCGGTTTCATAAGGAAAATTTGGGGGAGGAGGGGAATCTCTATCCAGGAAATTCCTGGAGATTCAAAGAAAAGAATGTCTGTGGTCTGAAAGTTGAAAAAGCAAGAGAAAACAGAAATGGATGGTGGAGGGAGGTAAAGGGAGAAGAGAATGTGAGAACATTTTTTTTTTATTCTAAATCACAATGTACATCTAAGACTTTGGGAATATATGTTAAAGAAAAATTATTTTGGCACTTGTTAAAATGGCAGGAAAGACTCCATTGAAGACTATTGTGATAGAAGTCAAGACAATTGCAATAAGGAAAAGAGACTGAACTCAACTCAGAATATTACAGGGACAAATGAAGATTCATAGCCAATAAGCAGAGGGAGGAGATCAGTGGATGATGAAAAATTACCAAGAAAGGACTCTCTTGCCTCCGTGGTATTATTACTGTCCTCCATCACAACGGTGATTGCCTCCAAAGGAACTCTGGATTTGGATTTTGAATTGGGTCTGGGTGAGTAGTGCTATTTGAAGGTAACACACAGTAGGGTATGCCCCCGTCAATTTGGGAGATTCCAAAGGAATTCTCATTTATTTTGGATTGGGTAAACCCCTACCTGCCTGTGAGGATGGGAACTATCTTGTTTTGATTCAACATTACCAGTGCTTGTTAGATGAGACTGGAGTTGGTATGTTTGGAACCTCTTGAACTTCTCTTTATGTCGAGTGTTGGTATAAACATGTGAACACAGACTCTGTTAAGCTCTTTGTCTGTATTTTCTTTTTGCTGTTGATAGTATTATTAGTGTAGTTCAATGTCTGGGAAGTTGACAGACATTTCTGACAGTAGTTTCTCTTGTAGCAGATTCTAAGATCAGATCTAACAGTCCTGAGAAGGGTTCCAGGTCTGATACTAGACCAAACCCCCCTTGCAGCTTCAACAATAGTCTTGTAACCAGAAATGAGTTGTGTGTCAAATATGAAAATAATGTGTTTGGAAAGAATCTGAGTCCTGGCCCTCTGGGACTTTAGAATCTTCCAATCACACCTGAAGACTCTCCCAAAAAGTTTTTTGTTTTGTTTTGTTTGTTTGAGATAAGTTCTTGCTCTGTTGCCCAGTCTAGGGTGCAGTGGCATCATCAGAGCTCATTGCAACTTCAAACAATTGGGCTCAAGCAATTCTCCTGCCTCGGCCTCCCAAGTAGCTGGGACTATGGATACAGGCCACCACATCACCATGCCAGCGATCCCCCAAAGTTTTATGATCAACAGAGCCTTAGTGATTCTAGTTGCCTCTGGGGTATTTATGGAGTACTGGTTTTATAGACCCAATTAGCTTCAGTTTACCTGACTTACATGACAGGTTGTGGGAACTTCTGGTTTGAAGAGGAAATTCTGCCACAATACTAGAGCCTGTGATGGTAATGATGATAATCACCATGAGAACAATAGTAAACCTTTAAGCATTGCAATGGACTTGAACCCCTGAGACACTACTGGTCAGTCTGCCCCCTCCCAGAAGTTTCTGTGTGTAGCTTTCCTTGGGGGGCTAAGCTTTGTAATAGGGATTGCTTAAAAAGGAGAGAAATGGAAATGTTTATCTCTCGATCCTTTCTTTACAAAGATTTTATATTATTATTGTCATCAGTATCTGTGAAATCCTGATCTGAACTACTGCTCTCATACCTGTACCTGACCTTTGCTCACCTCCCACTGCAAAGAAATTTGTTTCTTCTTTCCCTGGGTTTAAGTCTTTACAGAACAACCTTTATTTTCTCTTCAGAAACAGCCACATCAGGAGCACTTCTTGAATCCTGTAGTTTGAGGTTGCTGTGAGCTAGGCTGAAGCCAGGGCACTTTAGCTTGGACAACAGAGTGAGTCTAGAAAAGAAAGAAAGAGAGAGAGAGAGAGAGAGAACCTGAATTTTTTCAAGCTCAGAGTGGAGAGTGGGAGGTAAGGGTGGGCAGATGGAGACCTTTTCCAGATACTCAAGTATGGTGCACTCAGGTTGGAAGTTACAGCCCTCTTCCTTCATTACATTAAGAATGTCACTCCCTGTGGAGGGTACCTGTGGTCCCAGCTACTTGGGAGGTGAAGGCAGGAGACTTGCTTGAGCCCAGGAGTAGGAGGTTGCTGTGAGCTGTGATGTCACAGCACTCTACCCAGGGGGACAGCTTGAGGCTCTGTCTCAAAAAAAAAAAAAAAAAAAAAAAGGAATGTCACTCCTCTGGATCCTTCACTTCTATGTGGCAACTACAGATCCCTTGGTTAGGCTAAACTAGTACCTGGAGAGAATTTTATACATTGTTTCATCTCATCTTTCTCCACCCGTTTCTTGGTCCTTGGCTATCCTGACCTGCATTTTTTAAGTGCAAAAATATTTGTATGTGTGTAAATACTTATGTTCTACATAATTTATGAAATGAAGAGAAAAACAGCTATTTTATTTTACTCCCTCATATAAACTTCTCTTTCCTTAATATCTAATTTTTTGTATCTGTTATAAAAGACTAAATTGTAATTATAAAACAGCATGGGCCAGAGAGGACTTTCCACCAGGTCCTTTGCACCTCTAAGTAGGAATGTTTTTTGTTACACCTTTTTTGTTTTGTTATGTTTTTTTCCTTTTATATATTTTCAGGTCCTCCCCACTTTCTCCCAGACAAGGCCTTGCCCTATAGCCCAGGCTGGAGGGCAGTGGCATCATCATAGCTAAGTTCAACCTTAAACTCCTGGACTCAAGTGATCTTCCCACTATGGCTTTTCAAAATGCTGGGATTACAGGTGTGAGCTACCACACCCAGCCTGTTTTCAGATTTTAACACTGAGGATGAATTAATTTTATACACAGAAATGTATGCCTATTTGTTGTAGAGAGCAGAAGATAAGTAAAGATTCCTCTCATGTAGAGACCTGAAGGGAAGGGTGCAGAGGGACCTAATACCAGAGAACACACAGTCACGGCAATTCTGAGCAGACTGTCTCACCAAGTGCTTTGGATGTACCAAGGAAAGGTCTAGAGTGTTTTTGAGAAAAACAAAATATTAGGAGCCAAGGGAACAGGGACAAAGTGAGAGAAGAGTTATGGCTCTAGATATAATACAGGACTGAGGAAGTACCACACAAAGCCAGGTTGCTGCACAGGTTTTTAATTTGAGAGTGATAAGAATGACTTTAACATTGAGGAGACTCAGAGTCAGAAGAAAACCTATCATTCAGAATAAAGGGACATCTCTGCCCGGGTGCCATGACCTGAATGCACTAAGGGACAGGCACCAAGGAAGGCTCTGGTAGGGTCTGACCCAGAGAGGTTTTGAGACCCACCATCATAAAGATGCCCCTCCCTTCTGTGAATGAGGTCTCTGCTCTCACTCTGTCTTCAGAGGTTCTGCAAGAAAACTTCTGGGTGGCAGAAAAATAGAGAACTAATTAGGGAAAGGAACAGTTTAACAAAACATGCCTAGCTTAAAGGAGAAAGGAGGCTATCAAGGGGACCTAGAGTGTCTTGCTGTCAGTTCCTGCTTTTCTTAGACCTTCAGGACGGGGGAAGATAGACGTCAAAGCTTCTGGGGATTACTTTCTTAAGGGCATGGGCAATCTGAACTATCTACCTTAAAATATAATTTTCCTCTGGAATAGATTAGAAAAAAAATTTGTATTTCAGGATCAGAGTTGGAAAGTTAAGTTTTCTCTCCCTTAATCTTCAAACACACTCACACATGCATATACACACAAATGCACTCCCATGTATCATTCACACACACATTTGTGCATAGCTACCCACACGTATAAGCAGCTGCTTGGATAGTACTGGATGGTTTGGTCACATGGAAGCTGGGTAGGAAGGGGTGTGGAGCAAAGATGAATCCTTTGTTAGATAGTCCTTCAGGTGATAAGCAAGTAGGAACTTCTGCCAGCACTAGCCCTTCCTACTAAGTATCCTGCTTTAGGTACTCTTGGATGTCTGACTTGACCTTGCTGACTGGAGCCCGGTGGTACCAGCGCATGACAGGAACTCCATTAGGTCCCACCAGGAACTTCTCAAAGTTCCAGCGGATGTCATGGACCTTCATGGGCTCCCAGAAGAGATGCTTTGATGAGCCCAAAACATCAGAGGTCGGAGGGCAGGAGTTCTGGAGCACAGATACAAAAAAATAGAAAAATAAATTTATTTTTACTTTTTTGTGGTCCAGTGTTATCCCTAGTCCTAGAGAATCTACTCACCAATTATATGTGTATCTTAATATATTAACCTTAACATGCTTCTAATTAACCACAGACATTGTAATGTATCATCACCAATACACTAACTACCAAACAATCAAAAGTTACAGAGTACGATAGTGAACAGAGAGAATCCCTTCTTTCCTGTCTCGCCTCCATTCTCTGGATTTTTATCATGGTACTTCAATAAAAGAATATCCTCCATTTCCTTGGGCAAGTCATATCATTTTTACAGTTTCAGTTTCCTTAGCTGAAAAATAATGGGTTGGTTTAGAATAGTGGTTCTCAGAGTTTGGGGCTTTACAGGCCAGTAAAAGTTCAATAACTATTTTTTGGAAATTAATATAGAATAACTAGCATTCATTTTGAGCAATAGGAATAATTAAAAGTTTACTATTCCATTCTGAGCAAGAGTGAGACTGTCTCTACCAAAAATAGAAAAACTAGCTGGGCATTATGGCAGGTGCCAGTAATCCCAGCTACTTGAGGATTTCTTGAGTTCAGGAGTTTGAGGTTGCCCTGAGCTATGACGGTACTCAACTCAGGGCAATAGAGTGAGATTTTATCTCAAAAAAAAAAAAAAAAAAGTTTACTATAACCATGTAACCATATTCAAAAATTAAAATATTTTTAAATATTAGGTTGGACCACATAAGATTGATGATAGCATCATTTTTGAGCAAGAGAAAAGCCAATATGTATGGTTAAACCTATATAATTAAGTAATTTAGTATCGGAATAAATGTTGGTCTTATATTTAATGAGTTGAGCTTTATGAAAACGCCTCACATTGTCTTTTTGTTTTTAAAGTTTGCTGTGGAAGTGTGACAATTTGAACAAAAGCCAGCCTTATTCTGAAGACCAGGTTTTGGGGGTGGGAAAGCTAAGAAATCCCTAAGGTTCCTTCTATCCTGGTATTTTGTGGTTCTAACACTGTGACTCCAGACACTTACCACATAGTACTATTACTCAAATCTGTATGTGTCTCCTGAGTAGGTATGAGTTCCTTCAGAGATTAGCCTATGCCGTATTAGCTCTTTGTACAGCACAGTTCTTTGCATATACCAGGGATTTGAAAAACATCAAATAAATGAATAATTACTATTCATTAGGGGAAGTTAGTCTGTGTCAGAGCTAGCATTCATTATATGTTTCCTCTACTTAAGGTTGACGGCCCATAATAGATATTGCCATGATCCTTGAATTTATCTGAGTATCTCTTTTTAAGGAGTCCGACTCCAAACCTAGACATGAGCCCCACTGCTTTTAGGACATCAGGTAGATATGACCAGTCCGTACCAGGTTTATGTTCACTCACCTTCAGGAAAGTAAAGACTTTCTGTTCATTTTCTCCATTCACATCCCCTTTTTCAAAAAGCTGGAAATTGGGGACAAAGCCTCCACCTGGACGCACATACCTACAATGAATCAGAGTATTCCCAAAAGGATCCAAATTAAGACAGAGATGGAAAGTAATGGCTACTACTAATGCACCACAACAAGTAATCAGAGACAAAGAGAGAGAGTGTAGACAGGGAAGGTAAGAAAATCAGGACTTCATGCTATAGACTTTATGAAGCCATACAACATTCAATACAAATGGAAGGCAATATTTTGAACTTGGGCTTCCTGGTTCATTTCCATTTTCTTTATTCCCTTCTTTCTCTTGTGTTTCTTTTCCATTAGATCTTCCCTTAGTCTCACCATTAAGAATCCAAATGTAAAGAGAATATTTGAGGACTGTCAACATGGCTAGATTGAATTCAAAACACCATGGTCATACTCTTCAATCCATTGATTTACAACTACCACCCCCGGAAATTGCCAGAATGCAAAGGCTGCTCAGCAGAATGAGGAATGGAAACCCTGACAGGCACTCACTTGAGCCCAGAAAGGATCTCTTCTGGGCTCTTTCCTGGTTCTTCTTTTCCAAACTGATTGCAGGGAAAGCCCAAAATAATGACACCAAAATCCCTCAGGTCCTCCTGTAGTGCATTCAATTCTGTAAGTAGAGAATGAATAGCATGGGTGGCCTGGTCAGAAGCCCCACTTCCAGCAGCGAAAGACCACTAGGTTTGTCCATTCATCACATATATAAACCACGGACTAAGAAGGGAAAGATTCACGATTACAGAGATCAAGAAGGTAAAGCAAAACCCAGGTAACAGGTTTCCAGAAACTCATCCAAGTGGCACTGTTGCTTTTCTTGGGCAATAGTTCCCATAACTAGCTGAACTTTACCACCCGATAAGAATTCTTATTTAAAACACACACATGCACATGCACATGCACACACAACTGGTTAGTCTTGAGTGGGAGTCTTGCTTGTTTCTGAGAAATCCTTCCTTAGTTGGTGGACTGACTGACCAAATGTACTATTCAGAAAAAGGCAAACAAAATGGACCCCCCATCCCTTCTTCCCCTTAATGTCTCAGGATAACACAATATGACACTCTGGTCACATTCTCAGGAGCACTCTTTTTTGCTCCCCCCTGAGAGTAGTGGAGGGAATCAAAGGAGTTCTGGCCTAGCTCCAGAACATTCTGTATACTCTCATCAATTCCAGTGACCTAACTGATGCCATTTCTCTGCTACACTACCTGGAACCTCAGGCTACAAGCTCCAAACTACTCTTTACCATTGCCAAGAAGCTGTCTAGACTTGTATCATTATTTTCATCTTCAACTGTTTTCAGTTCAGATTTATTCAGCCCCAGAAGCAGCATCAGCCAGCCTCAGTGAGACTCAACTCTACCTGCTAGCATCTCCTCAGAACCTCTTCTTAAATGGAGATTGCTTCCTGTTTTCAGATAGTTCTTCAGTTACTATCCATACTCAACTCCTTCTTATTTTTGGCCATGAAGAGTATTTCCTTCTTACAACAGAAAAACTTAGCAAATCTTGAGTCTGGTCCTTTGGCAAGTTTCTTTAACACTAAATTTCCTAATTAGGAATAAAATTTGAATGAGATGTTCTTTAAAATTCTCATAACCTAGTTTAATAAATCATATTGCAGCAACATAATGGAAAACTATGCCTTAGAAATGAATGAGGAAGCTCATCATGTGCTTTTATAGATTAACATCCAAGATATTTTATTATGTAAAAAAGCAAGATGCAGAATCATTTGTGTGTGTGTATTTGTGTATATGCTTAAGACAGAGAAAGAGAAATATTTGATTATATAAGCATAAAAGATTTCTGAGCTGGGTGTGGTGGCTCACACCTGTTATCCTAGCACTTTGGGAGGCTGAGGTAGGTGGATTTCTTAAGCTCAGGACTTCAAGACCAGCCTGAACAAGAGACCCTACCTTTAGTAAAAATAGGCAAGAAAAAATAATCCCCCAAATTAGCCAGCCACTAGCATTGTGGCAGACACCAGTAGTCCCAACAACTTGGGAGGGAAAGGCAGGAGGATCACTTGCACCCAGGAGTTTGAGATTCCTATGAACTATGCTGCCATGGCACTCTCCCTAGGGTGACAGAGTTAAGACTCTGTCAAAAAAAAAAAATTCTGGAATTTTATTATTAACTAATAAAATTGGTCACCTAAAGGGAAGGGTACATGGAAGGTGCCTCTGTTAAATCCTTTTGTATGTTGTGAATTCTGAATATTGTAAATGTATTAACTATTCAACACATAACATATTTAACTTAAAACTAAATAAAATTAAAAGAAATTTTAAAGCATATTCACATCCCATGCAACTATTGTTTACACTTTTAAAATTTACTATATTTTTCAAATTTAAATTTCTGAAGGGAGGAAAATCCCCACTTACTAAATGATAAAAACCATTGCTTGGGCTCTTACAATTAGGTCCTGAGATTTTTATAAAAAATTCAGGTTTTCCCTAGAGTTGATTATACATAAAAATAAAAAAATATAAAGTGATCCCAATATTCTTTTAAATGTGTGGCTGTTACCCAATCTGTATTTTTAAGAATACCTTTTTATATTTAAGTTCACCATTACATTGAAAAAATCTTTAGCTTCTCTTAGTATGTGAACAATTTCTCTTTTGTTGTGTTTTGGAGGAATCAATCAAACGCAGTAGTGAGAAGGGGGCAAAGAGTCGAACAAGGGGTCAATCTGTAACTGTGAACAATCAAATGAGATAATTCACTACCTTTGGAGTAGTCAAGAAGAATTTTAAAATATAATTTTGCCTAAATCAAGCAGCACCTTCTGAATGGTAATTTCAAAATGTCAAGATGAATTCAGCCATTAAAAAAAAATGGAGACTTTGGGAAGGTGCCTGTGGCTCAGTGGGTAGGGTGCCAGGCCCTATATACTGAGGGTGGCGGGTTCAAACCTGGCCCCAGCCAAACTGCAACAGAAAAATAGCTGGGCCTTGTTGCGGGTGTCTGTAGTCCCAGAAACTCCAGAGGCTGAGGCAAGAGAATCCTGTACTAAGGGCCAGGAGTTGGAGGTTGCTGTTAACTATGATGTCACAGCACTCTACTGAGGACCATAAAGTGAGACTCTGTCTCTAAAAAAAGAAAAAAAAAATGGAGACTTTACATCTTTTGTATTAACCTGGATGGGAGTGGAACACATTATTCTTAGTAAAGAATCACAAGAATGGAGAAGCAAGAATCCTACGTACTTAATTTTGATATGAGGATCATTAATGATCTAGTATGCAGTGGGGGGAAGGGGAAAGCAGAGAGAGGGAAGAAGGGAGAGGGGTGAGGAGTCACAGTGTGCGATACACCTTTTGGGGGCGGAACACAATTATAAGAGGGACTTTACCTAACAAATGGAATCAATGTAACCTGGTTCTTTCTACCCTCAAAGAATCCCCAATAATTTAAAAAAAAAAAGTCTAAAATCTCAAAATGAAGTGAACCATATAGCTTAGATGCATGATTGCAATATGCTTAAATTTAAGCAGTATTTTAAAAGGAGAAAATTCTGAGATTTGTTATTATTGAAGCTCCAATAAGATAAATGATAGGAGTTTATATTTTTGATCAGTTGAATAGGTAGCATTGTCAGTGTGTAGAAACTTTTTCTTAAAGCTTATTCATACATTACTTTGATCTATTTCTCTGTGGAATTCAGTGCAATTAACCTTTTGAATTTTTCTAGAACTTTTCTTAAAAGCATAAAATAAATTCTTGGCCTGTCAAAAACTGCATGTACCTCTGGTATAATTGATCTAGAGCTTTAAGCCTTTCTTGATCAATAGGAATACCAAAGTCTCGCTCAATATGTACACACAAAAAATCAAAAACACACCTTACCCACCACAGAAGGTTAGGCCATGTTTGGAGAGATGGGACATTCTCCCATACTACCAGTCATGCTAAAGAGCCCTCACCAACCAAAGGCGACCCAATTAGAAAACTTCATTTTTCCTCCTCTGTCATTTGGAGGTGCCTAATGACACCCAAGAGCACTTTGCCAAAGATCAAAGATCAATCCTTTCTCCTGTTGGTATCAGAAGTCACCAAGGAGAAACATAGAATCAGGTTCTAAAGCTAGGTTCTGGCCTGGGAGTCACAACTAGGCTTTGGCATTCTCCTAGAAACAAATAATTTCATAGAATGTTAATATTATGCAACTGTGACTGTGAATCAAAACAAAAACAAGACCATTCCATAATTATAGCTGAACACAGTCAAAACATAAACATTGCTCAAATCACTGAAATGACCAAGCACCACCCTATTCTTAACAATATGAGTGACTTCTGCTTCTTCACCAGCTACGACTTTAGCCTTAATTTCTCCCACCATGCAGATATAATTAACATACCCAATCACATAATTTTCTTCATTTCCTGATGGTATCCAGTTGACAACAAAGCTTCAACTTCTTAAACCCTTTCCCAAATCACCTAATACAGGCTCAGATTCTATAATAAGTCCTTTCTGACACTCTTCTATTCAGAAGCCCTGAGCAACAATTCAGCTTGTTTATGATGGGTGTGTTCCTGGTAGCCTTTGTGACTAAATCTCTGGGAAAGTTTTAGTTCTCAAATCTAGAGATAATCCTCCTGGTATTCTAAGAAGCAAGAAAGAGCGAGATGTAGGGGAGTAAAGTTATCAATCCCTTCTTGTCCCTCCCCACCCCCCAATAACACATTAGCAAACCTTCTGGAATTAAAATGTGGCTACCTGGGCTTGGTGCCTGTAGCTCAGGGCTAGAGCACCAGCCACATACATAGGTGCTGGCGGGTTCCAATCCAGCCCGGGCCTGCCAAACAACAATGACAACTACAACCAAAAAATAGCTGGGTATTGTGGCGGGTGCTTGTAGTTCCAGCTACTTGGAAGGCTAAGGCAAGGGAATCGCTTAAACCCAAGACTTTGAGGTTGTTGCGAGCTGTGACACCATGGCACTCTACCCAGGGTGACAGCTTGAGACTCTGTCTAAAAAAATATATATATGGCTATCTGGTAAAGCTAGTTCCATATGAGTTGAAACATGAGTTCTTACCAGGGTACTGAACTGCCAAGCCTCAGTAGGTGGCCACGTTGACAAAGAGGACATGCTTGCCTGCGTACTGCTTGAACTGGATGTATTCGCCATCCAGGGTGAGTGCTCCATACTCATAGATGGTGCCTGCCACATCCTTGTTGCAATCCACCTGGAATGTATCAAAAATAACTAAAATGATATAAGTAAAGAACAATTCCCAATATCTGTGGACTTTTTTAAAGCACCCAAAGACCTTTCATGTAATATTTTACAGATCTAAGAACTTAGGAGATCTCTTCAAGTAAAATCTTTAGTTAGAGCTGAAATCACAATGAGCACTTATATCTTCTATCCATTTTGTGTGTGTGATAGGGCAAGCGTGCATTTTATAATATTCTTTCCTTTCCTAGGAGATTAATACAATTTACCTCCATTCTCTGACGCTGCATACTCCCCGAATCATAATAATCCATTCTAGTCATCCCATCCTTCTCAGATATTACTATTAGAGTTTTGCAAGGTTTTTCATAACATAAATCAGTTTTAAATAAATTCTTTATCTGTATGTTCTGATATTGTAATTCTTCCACACAGGCCCCGGCCCATAACTTGCTCCTCCTCTGGATCCCACTGAAGGGCCTTTCCTGGCTTGCCAATGAGATACTCACTGGTACCTACAAGACTCATCCTTGATGTATGTTTCTTCTCATGTCTTTATTGTGCAGAAATAGTCTAGAGGAAAAACTTTCTATCCACAAATATGCTAATAAAAAAAAGGAGACAGAACCTGAAATTGAAGGCTAAGATGTTATGTGGTGAGAGAGGTCAGATTCCTAGCCAAATGGAGAAAAGAGTAAATTTGGCTTCAGAGAATCTCAGTCTATTACAGCCTGCCCCATGCAGTGAAGATATTGCCTATGGGTGAACTTCCGTGGGGAATGTGGAGCAAGAGGCTCTTTATCATCTGATAAGTCTGTCAGTTTTGTCGCCAGGACTGGTGGCACTATCTTCTTCACTACCCTTGCAGGAAAGGAGGCTTGCCTGGGGCAGGCCTTTCCCTTATGTGTCCATACATGTATACACATCTGTGCATACGTATTGTCCAAATATGGGGGAATATGAGTCTGAGAAATCAACTATGATGAGCTGTCATCTATGGGCCTGCCTTCTCTTTGCTTTCATGCCACCTTACCTCTGTGCTAAATAATTTCTAGCATTTGCCTTTCTTGCTACTGTAATAAAAAGTCACATGAAAATCATCCTGTGGAATATCACTTGTGTGCTTTCATTTTCCTCACTGAGCTCTGGGCTCAGCAACAACCACGTTAGCTTATCATATGGAAATCACCCTACAATCTGGAATATAGATTCATTCTTAAGAAAATTGCAGACTTGAAGAACTCAGTTCTCCTCATCCAGTTTTTATTTCTGTTCCCATTTGCTTAGGTTTGTTTGAAGAGGTTGGGATACCAAGGAACATAGCTTTTAATTTGCAAGATGATTTTCTACATTGGGAATTCCATACCCAACCAGCCAGCAGTGGCCAACATAGACCTGGATGTCCCTTAGAGGTTGTCCTTTCACGTAAGCTATGATCTTAATGCAGCTACCAATCTTTGAACATTTTATATGCATCGTCTTATACTTCACATGCAGCCAATAACAGAGGTTAAGGCATAAAGCCCAGGTTTGAGGACCTGCATCAGTATGTACTGGGAGCATTTTGGAAATATAAATTCCTGAGCTCTCTCTAAGACCTACTGAATCAGAAACTCTAGGGATGGGGCCCAGCAATCTGCTCTTGACAAGCTCTCCAGATGATTCTTACACAAGTCAAGTCCTGGAATCACTGTATTATCTGATGGGCATTGTATATATATAGTGCCACCACTGAGGCCAAGTTCTTGAATGAGTTCGTTTGATTTTAAAGTTAAAATCTGTTGGTGCCTCAGGTGGTCTACTCAGTCCCAACCCTGCATGCTCAGCCATATCATTTTTAGGGGTGGCTAATGACACCCACTATGGGAACTTTTCTGAATGGTATCAGGTGATTTGGAGCAGCACCAAGATCTGAGAACATATCCTGTGACCTGAGCTTTGTCTTTACCTGACTGTATCACCATCCCTAAAATTGATCTTGGAGGACAACCAACCTGGTCTTGTGTGTTTTATTATTCCCTGAACAGAAGCTCCTCTTTCTTGGACATGAAAACTCCTACGGCACACTCCAGTACCAGTTTCTCTTTTTTTTGTAGAGACAGAGTCTCACTTTATTGCCCTCAGTAGAGTGCCGTGGCATCACACAGCTCACAGCAACTTCCAACTCCTGGGCTTAGGTGATTCTCTTGCCTCAGCTTCCCATGTAGCTGAGACTACAGGCACCCGCCACAATGCCTGGCTATTTTTTTGTTGCAGTTTGGCCAGTGCCAGGTTTGAACCTGCCACCCTTGGTATATGGGTCCTGTGCCCTACCTACTGAGCCACAAGCACCACCCCAGTACCATTTTCTTTAACCTCTCCCTCTAGATTTCTGGCTGAGCAGCCTCTCCAAGGTCAATCAAGTCAGTCTTCCTCTCAATCCATTTGCCACAATTATGCCTCATTTCCAAGGATCCACAGTGCTTCCCATGTTACAGACCAGCATGGAGGGGGCAGGCTCTGGGTTATCAAGGGGCCACCATCTGGAAGTGGCAAAACAGAATACACCAAGGCCCTCGCCCCCAAACACACATTCAGTTCAAGAACCTCTAGGAGCAGAGAAGAAGATGGAAATTAGAGACAGTTGGTTTAAGGAGGGAGAGTCTCTGCTGCAAAGGCAAAGGACAACAGTGTCAGGATTTCCAAAGCAGGGCAGGATGGCAGATCTTGTCCTTCGAGAAGACGAAAGAGAAGAATTCCCCACATTTGACAGCCTGGATCCCCTGTTGGACACTCACCTTCATTTGTTCTGGCTTTAGAATCTGCTGAGTAAAGCCCACCAGGAACAGGGAGAATAAACAGGAGGCCCAGAACTGCCAAATCATGGCTCCTACTAGGAGGACTAGGTGAGTCTGAGGTCCCCAGGAGTCTTAGCCCCTTTTGAGTCCCTGGAAGGGGCTGGTTTGAAGATGTGCTCTCCAATCACAGAGCAGCATTCATGCATCCCACAGTCTTCCCACCCCCACCCCTGCATCTGAAATGTGAGACTGAAATGTTTTGGCAGGAAGGTGGAGGTTTTTGGAGCCTGAGGTACTCACCCTACCCTCTCTAAGTGATTGGCAGTTCCTAGGTGCATATCCAGGAAGGAAAGCCACAACTATAATCAGAAGTTGCTTTTTAAAAACAAAACTATCACATGATTTCCATGCAAACTAATATTTAAGAACCATTGCCCTAGATGACTATGTATCCTTTGTCCTGTCCCCTCACACTTTCATCACTCAGTTAAGAGAACATTGTCTAGTCAGCTGTGTAGGTCTGGGTGTCTCAGACCCTTTGCCTGGCATTCTGTTCCCTGGAGAAGGACTCCTTCAAGCAGGAGCAGCACAAATGAGGGATACACATTCCTAGTGGAAAGTAATCAGGGAGAAAATACTAAACTATGAGTCAGGAAACTACACCAGGCTTGAGTTTCATCCTCTGTAAATGTTAATCATCTCTGCCCTTGATTATTTTATAATCCCATTTCTTATGAGGCTGTAAGAAGATAAGGACCAGGAAGAGGTTGGCAAGTATTTGGATTGATGAAGAGGCACACAGATGTTTTCCCTGGCTACCAGCCCACCCATTCTGCTCCCACCCATCCGGCTTTTCTCTGTCAGCTTAGCTTTACTAAACTCCCTTGTTAATTGAAGTGAAAAATTCTTCCTCTTCATTTCTAAGCTCCCTCCACCTACCCTGCTTCTTCCAGGTTTATACAAAAGGCCTTCTCTGCCTCTTGGAACTGAAGTCTGGGTGGGGTTGAATTTGTGTATAATTGTGGGCTGATCACTGATACCTAGCCCCACCATACAGGTCCCCAAGGTGTTAGGGCAGCCGTGCAGAAAGCTTTCCTCCCATGGCATAGATCTACACACATCCCCAAGCTCATTTGCCTTCTCTTGTTCTCAGTTCACAAAATGGATGAATCTTTCACCATGAAGCTGTAGAGACTAATGAATTCAATGCCTGCTGGTGTCACTGACTAGCTCCTTGACTCTGAAAAAGTTAATGTTTCTCAGTTAATGTAACTCAATTTCTCAGTTAACTGTTTCCCAGTTTTCTCATCTGTGAAATCAGGTTATTATTATTATTTACCTTGTAGGGCTACTGTGAGAATTAAATGTAATACTAATTATAAACCATTTACCCCAGGGCCTGCTTTGGGTGAGCTACGAGAAGTGTATTCACCCAGCTTCACATGTGAGAAAACTGAAGCTCAGGGAAAGAGATAATACAGCAAAAGTCACAGGGTTAGTAATAGTGAAATGAAAATGAACTCCTGATTCCTACTCTAAGCCCTTGCTCTGGTTCTATATGGATCATAATTGTGGCCAAGTCTTTAGTGTCTGAGACAATTTACATTTAGTCACCCTTGAGAGGTGAGAAGATACTTTATTACCAACCTCAGCAGTAGGTCAAAGGGCCCAAAACACCAAATACCTAAGTTTCAGTGTTCCTGTATTCCTAATTAACTATTGAGCACCTCAGATCCAGCCCTCCAGCAATGAGAAATGAAAGTATAGGAGCACACACTCAGCCAGAGGAAACAAGGGACATCTGATGTCTATGGTCCACCTGAAGGTTTTACACAGCTACAATTCCCTTTTGCCCACCCTCCTTTAGAACCTTAATTCCTGTCTCCTTCCAGGAAGTTTGCTTCTGTCCCTTAGCTATCTCCTCACCCACCAGATCTCTCCAGTCCCTCCTTCCTCCACACTCTGCCTCTATGACTTTTCTAAAGGTCAATTTTGTTGATGCATTCATGTTAGAAATTCCTTGATTCCTCCAAAATTCTTCTTTAACTTTTTTTTAGAGAAGAAATCTCACTGTTGCCCCAGATAGGCTCAAGCAATCCTTCCACCTCCACTTCCCAAGTAGCTGGATCTACAGGTACATGTAGATGTATATGTACATCTACAGTGCCTAACTTTGATTCCACTGGAATTCTTACACTTTTAATTTGAAATTCTTCCTTGGAGCACTCAAGGTCTTTCATGATTTAACATCAGCCAAATTTTCAGATATAACCTTCTCTCCACAAATGTTCTGTTTCTGGCAGATAAAACTGTCTCCATCACCCACTGTCCACCTGTAATTCTTGATATTTTAGGTCAAATCTCGGCTAGTACTTTGGGATCATATATGAAAGATTTTTTTTTTCTTAATAGAGACAGGGTCTCATAATATTGCCCTGGCTAGTCTTAAACACCTGGGCTAAAGTAATCCTTCTGCCTCAGACTTCCAAAGTGCTGAGATTATAGGTGAAAGATGGTGCCCAGCCCTGAAAGATTTTTTGATACATTAAAATTGTATACTAATGGGGGGGGATCAGGAACAGTTTGTTTTCCCATATCTCTGACCCTTGGTTTATAACTGTCAGTTGCATATTTTCATTCAAAATAATGGATATAAATACATTTTATCAAACAGGACTTCAGAGAAAACTCTCTGAAGCCTGAGTCACAAATCAGGGTGTTGGGGCATTTGACTAGGTCTTAAATTTGACCTACTGTCATTGCTACATTTTACAAATAGCCAATTGGTTGGGACAGGAAAGGATCAGAAACATAGATTAGGCTGACATGTGGCTCATACCTGTAATCATAGCACTCTGGGAGGTGGAGGTGGGAGGATCACTTAGGACAGGAGTTTGAGACCAACCTAAGCAAGATCAAGACACCTCCCCTCTATACTAAAATTACATAGAAAAATTAGCTGGGCTTGGTGGCATATGCCTATAGTCCCAGCTACTCAGGAGGCTGAGGCAGGAGGATCACTTGAATCCAGGACTAGGAGGTTCCAGAGAGCTAAGATGATGCCAGTGCACTCTAGCCAAGATGATAGAGTAAGACTTTGTCTCATAAGAAAATAAAAGAAACACAGATCTGTCTCAGTCACTGCTTCTTTGATCTAATCAGGATGAAGCAGTGTAGAGAACATAGATAGGCAGAATTCCAAAGACAGAAATGATTTGCCAAAAATCACGAGGTATTATGGGTTATATTGTGTCCCCCCATGCAAAAAAAGGTACATTAAAATTCTAACCTTAGAATATGACCTTACTTGAAAATAGGGTCACTGCCAATGTACTTAGTTAAGATTAGGTTATACTGAAGTATGGTGGGCCCATAATCCAAAATGATTGGTGTAATTATAAAAAGGCAGTCCTATGAGGATGCAGAGACACTGGGAGAATGCCATATGAAGACAGAGATGAGAGTTATGCTGCCACAAGTCAAGAACTATCTGGGGCTACAAGAAGCTACAAGAGGAAAGAAAGGATACTTCCCTAGAGAGGACATATGGCCCTGCTGACACTCTACTTTTGGACTTCTGGCCTCCAGAACTGTAAACAATAAATTCATGTTTCTCTAAATCATTCTGTAGAACTTTGTTATGGCACTTCTAAGAAACCAATATTCATGGCAAGTGAATTTCAATTCAGAAAGGAACATTTCTCTTTGATTTCCTTTAAGGTTAAGGGGACCAGACGTCCCGATTAACAATTTGTCTCATGTCCAGCAGCATTTTTAAAAAGTCCTGATTTTTGGAAAGAATGCATGACAAGCTAGGGAACAGCAGGAGAATGGAAGGGAATATACAGTTTGGGGCTACTGAAACGGTTAATGTAACTCCATTTGGGAATGAAGAGGTTAAGGTAACTTCATTTGGAAATGAAAAGGCTAATGTAAACTCCCTACTCCCCTCCTGGGCAAGGTATCAGAAGGAGACTGGCTCCCTCCCTTGCTTCTAGGCAAGGACAATTAGCTCAGCAGGAGCCAAAATGTCTGGAACAAACAAGTAGCACTCCCTCCCCAGAGCAAGGTGACCAGAGGTCCACTTTTGGTGGGACAGTCCTGATTTTTAACAATTTGTCCTGTGTCCTGCAGCGTTTTAAAACCCCAATTTTTGGAAAGAATGCACAACAAGCTAGGGAACACGGAAGAACAGGAAGAGAATATACGGTTTTCGGTTGCCATGTGGCTATTTCGCCAGGATATGCATTTTATATTATTTTTGTTAATTTTATAATGTTAAACTTTAATAATAACAAATAATTGTTGAGAACTGATTATTGAGAACTGCTTATCAAAGTTTGCATTGTTGTCAGGCCCTGCCCCCCCTCAATGGTGTCCAGCTTTACCAATGTTAAAATCTGGTCACCTTATTTAAGGTTCTTCTGTTGCTTCATGTCAACTCCCACACTCAGCAAAAGGTTTCTTACCATCACCTTCTTTGATAAAAAAGAAAACAAAGGACTTTTCTTTCTTTCTTTCTTTCTTTCTTTCCTTTCTTTTTTCTTTTTTTTTTTTTTTTGAGACAGTCTTACTTTGTCACCCTTAGTAGAGTGCCATGGTATCATAGCTCAAACTCTTGGGCTCAAGCCATTCTCTTGCCTCAGCCTCCCAAGTAGTTGGGACTACAGGCACCCACTACAATGGCCAGCTATTTTCAGAGCCAGGATCATGTTCTTGCTCAAGCTGATCTGGAACCTATGACCTCAGGCAATCCACCAGTGTTGGCCTCCCAGAGTGCTACCAAGCCCAGACTCAATGGTCTTTGTTTGTTTGTTTGTTTAATCTCCTTCGACACCTTTGTATTAGGAATGTGTATATTCCTATACATATTAGGAATTTGAAGAGAGTTATGTTTTTGTTGTAGTTGCTACTGTTTCTGTTTATTTATTTATTTTATAAAATTTGAGACAGGGTCTCACTCTGTTGCCCAGGCTAGAGTGCAGTGGCATTATCATAGCTCACTGCAACTTCAAACTGCTAGGCTCAAGTGATCCTCCCACCTCAGCCTCCCAGGGTGCTAGGATTACAGGCATGAGCCACCATGC